GAAACCCTTGAGTGAACTTAAAGACAAATGTTTATGGAATATCAGTTTGAATGGATGCAAAATCTGTAGGCGCCTGGGACACCCCATGTGTCAGACTGGCCCTGTAGACGCATCAGAGCTTGATTCCCAGCCCTACTACTTACGTAGCTGTGTGCTCTTAGGAAAGTTGTTAATGGTCCATGGCCTCGATTTCCTTGTGGTGATAATGATGTCTGCTTCATAGGGCTTTTGTGACCATTAAACCTAAGTGCAGAAAGCAGTGATGACCAGCAGTTCCATAACTAGCAATGCAACCAGGGCAAACAGAGCAACATGTACTCTGGCACCTTCTCAAGGGTTGGGGAAAGGGTGTCCCTGCTTGGCCACAAGAGGTCCTAGACTAGACAGCTCTGTCCTCCATCCACTTCTTGCTAGGCTTCCCTGAACAGTGATTCTGTGGCAGTAGATCTGTGAGCTTGGGTCTGGGCTGTCTAAGGGCAGAGGGAGCTTAGACATTTGTACAATTAGAAAAATCATTATTTAAGAGTTCATTTCACCAGAATTTTGATGTCCAGGGTCAAAGCCTTGGCCATGCCATTTTGTTTTTATTTATTTATTTTTCCTTATCTCCTTTATTTTATCCCCCCCCCTTCACCATTGGTCCCCCTATACCTTCTTCTACCTCCACCTACCCTTCTTTGTCCTGCAATCACTCAAGTACTGGTTGACTTCATATTATCTCACAAATACTTTTCCAGTTTGGGCTTTTTTCTTCTTTTCACAGGTGAGGTAAGGTCTCTCATATAGTTGGGGATTATGAACCTGGGCTCAGAAGGAAAGTTCATGCTCAGATTATGGTTACAAGCATGTAGACTTGGGTGTGAGTTCTACAGAGTTAAAGGCAAGGGTCAGTGTGTTAAAAAATTGGATGGATGGGTTTGTCATGAGAAAAAGTCACAGAGCTTTGTTATGAAGCATATGGCCTTGGACCTTCGTTGAGATTTGTTCTTTAGAATATCAAGTCTTGGTCTGTGTTAGCTTTTTAAAAAAATATTTTTATTGATTTCAGAGAGGAAGGGAGAGGGAGAGAGATAGAAACATCAATGATGAGAGAGAATCATTGATTGGCTGCCTCCTGCACGCCCCTGTTGGGGATGGAGCCTGCAACCCGGGCACGTACCCTTGACTGGAATCAAACTAGGGACCCTTCAGTCCACAGGCTAATGCTCTATCCACTGAGACAAACCAGCTAGGGCTATGTTAACTTTCAAACCAACCAATGAGACATAGCCCAAAGGTTAGAGAAGGAATGGAACTTAGGTGGCACCTAGCCAACACTTTGAATTGGAGTTGTGGAAATGGAAGCCTGGAGAGGTTAAAGGAGAGGTTAAAGGAGAGGTGCGAGGTCTTGCAGTCAGTGGCCGAGCAGAGACTGGAACCCTCAGCCCCACCCCGTCACCAGGGCTTGTCTGTCTACAGGAAATTGCCCTGCCCTGAAAGCAGCACCTGTCTCCTGTGAGAAAGCACATTAATTATGCTTTCATTCCGAGATGGTAGTAACATCCTTGTCACCAAAATGCAGAAATCCTATATAATAAAAGCCTGATATGCTAAATGTCCAGTCGACCAGTTGGCCGTTCAACCAATTAATGCATAATATGCTAATGATATGCTAAGGCTGCTTAACCGCTTGCTATGATGAGCACTGACCAACAGGGGACAGACAGTTGACCAGTCGACCAGTTGCTATGATGTGCACTGACCACCAGGGGGTAGACGCTCCGACTGGTAGGTGAGCTTGCTGCTGGGGTCTGGCCGATCAGGACTGAGCAAGACGGGCCAGACACGCCCTGGAGCCCTCTCATAGTCCCTCCCCAGCTGGCCAACCTCCCATGTCTCTCCCCAGCCCTGATGGTGCACTGGTTTGTCCCTTGGCCTGACCTGCACCCTCTCGCAATCTGAGACCCCTTGGGGGATGTCGAAGAGCCGGTTTCAGCCTGATCCCGCAGGCCAGGCCAAGGGACCCCACTGGTGCATGAATTTGTGCACCAGGCCTCTAGTGTTTTCATACTATGTTGCAGATGTCTTTGGACATCTAGTAGGTTTCTGGCCATCTTCCCCACCCCCATTAGTTGGTGCTTGCTCATGCGACACAAAGCAATTTGAATGTGACTCTAAAAAAAATCCATAGTTTGCCTCCCGCCTTCTGAATCCCACCCTGCCCTCACCCTCCAAGAGTCCCAGCCCTTTCCAAGGCCAGCAGCACAAGCCACCTCCACACAGCAGGTCATCTGACTGCTGTTGCTGCTGTTCCCTAGCAACCAGGAAGCTGCAGGTTTAAGTTGATGGATGGACAATGCACTGATCTGACCACTAAATATTTGTTCGACATTACTGACTTTTTGTGGTAGGAAAAAAAAGTCCCTCATGGTGCCAGGATACCTTAGTACGAAGCAATGGAAGGTGAGACTGATCAGCACTGGTCGGTCATGTACCCGGCACTGGGGTTACTTCATCTGACCTGTCATTAGGAGACAGACAATCGTGTATGTAAGAGCATGCTCAGTGCTTAACATTCTTTCTAATATAGCTCTGAAAACATTTCCTCTAAAACACATTGGTAATTTGTTGTGTACCCATAAAACTGCTTTGGAAGTATTTTTTTCTCTGTGATATTTAAGTAAAAATAGACTAATTAATGTTCTGTTTTAAGGTCCAATCTCTCCTCCACCAGAATATATATATTTTTTCCTTTGGAATTTGATAAAAAAGAGTAATGTGTTGCCATGGCAGAATCTCATTTAAGGCTCTGTAGCCTTTGGAAGCCTTCAGTTGATTTACATCCCGATTTTCCTGGCTCTCCACTTCCTAAGTTTCCTTTTGGCTGCCCAGCGTTTGCCATATTGTTGTTTTGTTGCTCAGTTCCCGGCTCCCCTGGTTGCCCACCGTGTTCTTAAGCTGCTGAAGACACTTAGTACAAACACCGAGAGATTCCTGTGAGAAGAGCACTTTATTCCTCCCCGATGGGAAGGTAGAAAACAGTCAAAACAACAGGACATCTTCTTGTTTTTTGCCACATTTGAAAAGAGATTTACATTTTCTTCTATTTGGAGTTTATGGAATGTCTACTTTGTGTCAGGACTTGTGTTTGTTTCTTTTTAGAGAAATGGCAAGAAAATAGACATATTGTTTAGTTTGTTTTTTTAAACCTTACCCACCCCCAACTTCTTCTCTCAGGGAGTCCTTTCAATCTCAGAAAAATGAAATCTCTAACATTTTTATTTTTTCTAAAGGTTTTTTTTTTTTTGGTGTATCTTAAAATAGTTCTTCCTTGACTCTCAAATCCCCTTTCCTTTATTGTTGAGTTTCTAGAAAGAACAGTTTATATTCAGTAGCTTTATTATTTTCTTTCCCCAATCATCCTTTTCTCAAGTCTACATCCAACCACTAAACTTATTCTAACAAGGATTACTGTTATCTACGACTGCATGAGAAGCCATACCAGAACTCAACAGCTTAAAGCTCAACAACTATCTGTTCTTCCTCTTGGTTCTGTGGGTAACTGGGCTCAGCTGGGCTGTTCTTCTGCATCACACGCCATTGGTTGGGTTACAGTCCTCTGCAGGCATGGTCAGGTTGGACTGTCTAAGACAGCTTGAAAGTTGCTGCTGGATGCCAGCTGGGAGGTCGCCTGGAGCTGTTGACCAGATGCCTGGGAGGTTCCCCATGCAGCTTGAACTTCTCACAGCATGAAGGCTGGGTTCCAAGAGCATTCCAAGTGCAAAGGCAGAGCTGAAGGTCTCCTAAGGTCTTAGCCTAGGAAGTTTTACTGTCTCACTTCTCCCCACATTCTCTTGGTGAAAACGGGTCACGGGGCAAGCCAAATTGAACAGGAGGGTAAACAGAAGCCACCTCTTGACAGGTTGGTGAATGGTCACGTTGCAAAGCGGATGTGAGATGCTGTAGCCATCTTGTAAACACAATTACTTGGGATCAACCAATCAACCCAACCAATCTTCTGTAGCTTTAGCAGGACTAACCACTCTCCATGGGTGATTGGTGGTGCTGCCTCCTGGTGTCCTTTCTATCTCTCTTCCCACTCATCCTTAGCCTTCTCCATTTTTTCTTTCCCTCCTTGCCCCTGCCATATCAGTATTTCCCAAGGTTCTTCACCTTCATATCTTTTTAGTCTCCATTTCTTTCTTGGAAAATTATATCTGCACTCAAGGCATGAAAGGTAATGTACTTAATTCAAGAAATGAATTGGAAGCCAAATGTCCACCAATGGAAATGATTGAATGAATTGTGGTACATCCGTATTGTTGAACTTTTTGCAGCTATTCTACAGGTGGGAATAGCCTGTATTAAACTAGAAAGAAGTCTGTGATATATTATTAAGGGAAAGATGCATGAAAAATGTTATAGTATAATAGAGAGGTGTGCATACATTTGCATATGTTTTATGAGCAAAGTGCATATGGAAAGATATGCTTCAACCTGCTAACATTGGTTATATTGAACATGCCTTATTATTGTAATTAACAGTCAGCTTGAAAGTAATCAGGGTATTCAGAAATTAAGAACAGATACGAATCTGTAGACAATAAAGATAGAAGATAGTGCAGAATAATATTTCCTTAATGGCTTAGAGAATGTTTAAAAAATGCAGATCTCTATTTTTTTTTTTTTTTGCGTGTGTTGAATGCTTATATATGCATAGAAATAGGTCTGTAAAGATTTAGAAGAAAATGTTAACAGTAGTCATTTCTGGATGGCAGATGATTTTTATTTCTCTTGGCTTATCTACATTATGCAATTTCAAAACAATGTTATTTTCATAATAGAAATAACATGACTTCTAAAAATAGAAGGTAGTACATAAAACTGGTACCATTAAGCTGCCTGTTATTTGAATACTCAAGACTTGAAAAAGCAACAATAGTATGAAATTATTGCAAAATGAATCCATTTGAGAACAGCAGTTGCCATATAACATTTTTGTTTCTTCCTTGTAGCAAAGACTGAAGGAAGAGAAGGAAGCCAAGCGGGCGCGTTTGGACGGTAGGCATGACTACCTATTTGGGATTGTAGCTTCCTGCGTGGACTTGAACAAAGCCGAGGTGGAGGATGCCATTCTTGAGGGGAGTCAGGTAGGACGCATTTGAGTTCTCACTGGCTTGATGATGGGGGACAGGAAGGGTCCGCTGACACTGTCCTATGGCAGTAGAGGAAGGAGGGTGCCTGTTTGATCATGGATAGGACTCCATTCCGATTCCAGACAGATGCTGGCAGCATGGGTTTAGGGCTTTCCAGGTCTTTATGTTGAACCGGGTACGTATATTTGCCATTTAAATTCCCCGACGCTGACGGCTCTGTCTGCATCTCTCTGAATCTAGTGAGGCGGGGCTCAGGCACCATGTTGGAACCTGATTTTGGAGAACAGGATCTCTGCTCAGAGGCTGATTTTAAAGAAATTATTTATTTCGTTCTAACCTGGGAGGTTGGATTGTGCCATCATTTCCTGGCTTCAACTTTGGTTTGGCAGCTGAATCTGGTTTCTTTTGTTCCTGAGCTTGACTTCCCATTTTCTGCCATGATTCTACTCCAAAACCTAGGATGTGATTTGACCTTGGATGGGAAAGGTGAAAATACTGGAGGATATAATTTCCTGGGCAGTGAGAAAGGCATATCAGAAACCCTGTGATGGTTCCTGAAGGCTGTTTTTCTTCTCCTTTTTTTTTTAACTT